AAAAGTTTAACCCTAAAGTACCCAACTTCGAGAGTTTTAAATTGTTCAAAATTCTGTAAAAAAAAAGTAAATAAGTTTTACTCACTAAATTTGCTGATGTTGCTCTCTGATATATCCTTGGTAAATTGGATAGTCAATAGTAGTCACATACATAGTGCTACACCCTGAAACACTGTCCTGCACACAGGGGAATTCCGCACTTTTATACGAGTGTCTGTGCTGCGCTCTCTCGCAAGAACTCGAATGAAACAAATAAATACAGGTCGTAACTGAATGAAAATGATATAATTAGAAAGAGCGAGAGCGCCCCCTTGTGATAACATGCTTACTCTACCTCGTACATGTACAAGGTTTGGCAATTTTAAGTACGAACATTACCTCGTACATGTACGGGGTTGGCGATTTCGAACTAACAAATATACCTCGTACATGTACGACTTTGGCATTGAAAGAGTTAATTGTGAAACGGATGTTTGTTTTTCTGGTTGCCCAACAGCTCGGTTACTGTGAACACAGCCTAGCCAGGAACACACAGGGTCACTGTCCTATATAAGTAGCATAACCTCAAGCCTCCCCCCCCCCCCATTCCCCCACCCCCCTCAAAATCAATCACAAATGTGCTGTGCAAGCCTGCAAGCATGGAACGCTGCACAAAATGATGCCTGCAAGCACTTCCCTTTAGTTCCAATCTGTATTGAAAACACTTGAAAGCTTGAAGTGCTAAATAACATTATGAAATTAAAATCTAGACAGAACCTAAGGAACCTGCATATCACCTCAGGGTGACAAATTTAAAGGGGCATGCACCTCGACTGTTGTGCAGTGCATTACTGCATTTTTTATTTTGTTCTTTTGTTTCATTTTACCAGGGTAGCCCCATCATTTGTCTAAGAATGGTTCTCCCTGGGGGATCTTTAAGTGTCCTCTGTCAACACTTAAAGGTTATACTAGTAAACCTGTGTTAAAATAGCTATCACAAAAAAACATGCCTATTTCAAATAATATTCAAAAAACAATATCCAACTGAAGGGCAAAACCTAATTTGATTTATATCACCCCGACGCAAAATTCCATCTTATAATATCCAACTGAAAAAAAAATGATGTATGTACATGTACTAGCTCAAGCATGCAACTGGGAAGTCACCAAAAAAAAAGAGGAAATTCAAATCTTTCCAAGACTTTGTACAGGGTTTTTCTATTTTCAATGGCACACACGGAAAGTAAAAAAAAAGAGGAAATCAGCTGATCTGAGGAAAAGTTGCATGCCTGCTAGCTGTTTTGGACCAAAGTAGCATAAATCAGCTTGAAAATATGAAATACCGATAATCTGCAACATCAACAATGTCACATCACTTTACAAAAACTGACGATGATTAAACCCAAACTACCAGCCAGTTTTATATCAAACTTATGTGCCATTAAACTCCACTTAAAAAAATGAATAAAAAACATTATTCATAAAAAATAATGATGTTTTGCAAAATTATAATAATACCAGGGGAAAAAACAGCCGGGACTGATGAGGCCTGGGCGAGTAGTGGATTTTTCTACTTGAGTACTCGCAAAGAAATTACTTGCGAGTACTCGAGTACTTGTGAGTAGTTAACTGAATTCCAATAATAATAATAATAATAATTTGGGAGGCTAATCATCCTTACTCGCAGCTGGTATGCTGAATTGCGAAGGACGCGGCTACAACGTGGTCGGGCCGCTGGCACGTAAAGGCGCCTATGGCTGCCGGCCACATCGACCCATATATGACCATGGAGCACAGCCTGAGATCGAAAGTGTTTGATTTTTATGGAGGGAGAAAAACCGGAGGGCCTGGAGAAAAACCCTCATGGCACAGAAGAGAACCAACGCACAACTCTACTCACATGCGATCCGCGGCCAGGATTCGAACCGTGGTCACCTTGGTGAGAGGCGAGCGCTTTACGTACAAGCCAGCCATGCCCCCCAATAAATCAGAAAAATGACATATATGTTGGTATGACGTAAATACAAGCAAATAGCGGGCAAGTCACACCACATTCAGCAGCACTGAGATATCCTTACTGTGTGATGTTTTGAGTCACAGTTAACTTGAATTTTACATTTTGGGGGGGATGAATGGAATCCTAGGGAGAGAGAGATGGAGGGATTGATTCCTTGTTGGCAGTGAACGTATTAAGTCGAGAACCCTAAATTGCTACTCGCGAGTACCTTCTTCTACTCGCACCAGGACGAGTACTCGATCAGATGAAACTCCACGAGCAGAACAACAAGTAGCATAATCTACTCGTGAGCACTCGAGTAATCGAGTTTCTCGCCCAGCGTCAGCACTGATTAAAACCTTGAACAGGTAAGAATGTACATGTAGCTATTTCTGTTTTTCACCGATTGACTCCTGACTTCAATCTGAACCCTGCATGCTTAGACAATTGTCAACAGGCAACAGCGGAAATTTCTTGTTGAGGTGAACGGCCGGGCAGCACTGAGCCTGTCCAATCATCATGTAACTAGATCACCGGTAGTATGCCTGATTAAGTCGCTGTGCGATTGGGATATAACCATACGACCAATAGCAGTATATGTACAGTAATAACTTCTCGGCTTTTTTTTCTCTCTCGTTTTTTTTTCTGAGGCCAATCAGCACGTCACAGTGCATGAATTAAACAATAATCATGCACAAAGTACACTCAACCACATGGACATGTATCTCTGTACTGGTACATGTTTATTCACCAATGCCAATTTCAAAATGATTGAAAAGTTTGGTGTCATGAGTTTTTTTGGGGGGGTGGGTGGGTCAATTTGATTGGACTTATTGTCTTTAACATTTAAACATGCATTCAACCACAAAGAAATACGCAAAGGCTATAACATGTAAATTGCGGCATGTATACATTATGATTAAAAGGGCGTATGTATATATGTAATGGAATTTGTTTGAATGCAATCTTGAAAAGTACCTTTGTGTTCCATTTAACTTTGTTTGCAATCTGCATAGTGCCATTTAAAGGTAGAGTACATCATTTGTAATTTGTGCATTATGTTCGTTTGAAGCAACAAAAGTGCTCAAAATCTAAAGGGTGTTAACAACTAACATTCAAGATGAACTTTTAGCTCAGTGAATGCCGTATATTCCGAGAAAATCAATATTCTGGGAGTTCGATTTCAAATTAAAAGTTGCCGAGTCATGTTTTTGAATTGCACCCGAATTCAGCGTCCGAAACACGTTCTCAATCAGCCGATTGCAGCTACGGGATGTCGCGTACTGAACCGACGAGTTATAGCAACAGCGCACACGTGTGCGTGGTGCCAACGCTTGTGCGCACCCATTCACCCAATTACAAACCAACTACTAACGTGAATTTCCACAAATGCGTCACTTATAAACTCATCTTTGGAAATGACATTCTTTTAATATTTTCTTCAAAATGACGGCATGCCCGAAAGAATAATTTCACAGGGAGTTAATAGTGCCATTGATATCTTTAAACCAAGTATGCTTTTCAACAATAATTTCGTAAGTTACTTTTTGGATAGCTGCAAATGATATACTCTACCTTTAAAGGGCATATGTACTAGAATTTGTTTGAAGGCAATCCTTGAAATGTACCTTTTTGTTCCATTAAACTTTGTTTACAATCTGCATAGTGCCATTTTACAATGCAAGGATGTTTTGGTGTCTTTTTGGTTCTTAAGCTATAGCTTATTCACGAGCAAAACTGTGATGTAATTCAAGGCAAAAACTGCAGTTTCACATCTGCTTTGTTTCTTTCTTGTAATAAATAATTAATTGATAATAAATAATTGATTGATAAATCCTGCCTTTAGTCTTCTGGTTTTTTTTTTTAGTTATTCCTCGGTTTCTGGTCTGAGTAGAGCGGCGCTAGGGTCCGCTCTGCGACAGTCCTCTATAATAACAATACTAGAGTATGTACATGTATAGCGTACGTATCTACCAACAATTAGGTACTCAAGGCGCTGGTAATTATGTCTATTTTTTCAAAGACAGGTAAATGAAGTTTATGAGAAATATGAGACTCATTATGTATCACCTTTATAAAGGGTATACAAGGTGCCGCGGCACATATTGCAGCCACTGCCAGAAACACCGGGGCAAACCCCTTCTCTTAGCGATAAGTGTTACTGGGTTCTTTAACGTGCACTACACAATACACGGGACCTATGGCTTTAAGTCCCATCCGATCGACGAAGCAATAATGGTAAAGTGCTTTGCTCAAGAGCACAAGCACCATGTTCCCCGTCAGGATTTGAACCCATGTACCACGGCACACGAGTCGAACACCGTAACCATTGGACCACAGCACCCCACATAAAGATTATTATCTCACAGACTGACTGAGTAATTGGCTCCCTTTAGAGCCGGGCAGTGCTATCACCCAGTAGTGCCCATGAATGGGCTACATCTGGCTCATATTAAAAAGTCTTGTTTAATGCTACGTGCAACACAAGTAAGTCACCACAGTAAAAGGTAAAGGTAGGGTAAAGGTAAGGTAAAGGTAAGGTAAAGGTTGTATTATTATTTATTTACTGTATCTAATTACCCTTTTTTTTATTTAAAAACTTAGTTTGACTTATTTGTGGAAAGTATGGAAATAAATGTTTCCTTTGAATTGAATTAAAATTGAAAGGTAAGGTAAAGGGGGGCGAATCTATGTTAACAGGAACGGAGTGCCCACCTCTCTTTGGAAGCGATTGGGCCAGACTCGAGTCCAAGAAATGCTGCTGCGGGGGGATCGATCACCGTCCTCCTCCACAGCGAGTCTGTTACCTTCCCAGCATTGACTAATGCCGGTACCCATTTAACACCTGGGTTGAGAGGAGCAATTGAGGCAAAGCGCCTTACTCAAGGGCACAACACGCATGGCCGCGGCGGGGCTCAAACCCATAATCCCACGATCATGAATCCTATGCCCTACCGCTAGACCACACGTGCCCGCGACGCGGTAAACAAACCCGGTAATGCCTTTGAATTGTGATAGAGCATACCTTGCATCCTTCGCAGGCCATGACGCCATAGTGGAATCCTGAGGATTTGTCGCCGCACACCTTGCAGGGTAAGCACAGGTCGTTCTCCCCAGCCTGCTTGGCCGTGTTCTCCACGCCTTCCATGCCCGTCATGTCATCCTCTAAATTGAAAATGAAGAAAATGAAGAAATGTATAAACAAATCAATAAATATCTCTAATTGAGAGACTTCAGGCAGCCCCAGGATGACCTGCGAATTGCTTTCGCCGTGACGGAACCGTCAGTATCAAGCACAAAAGTCATGGTCAGGTCCCAAAAATCGAGAAATCGTGCGATTAGGGTGAAACAAGCGGCATCTCCACACAGAATAATGGCAACCATTATCATGTCACCCAAGACGCATCGACGATTCACAATCAAATTTGATGATCCGCATACCTGCACGATGTAACTTCACACTGGTTGAGTGCGATTGACTCTAACCTGTCGGAAATACATTTCATTGTGGTGCAGAAGTTGTAATTTTTCCACTTCTGCAGCTGCCTTTTTTGAGAGAGAGAGAGAGAAAGACTTCATCTCATCGCGGTTGCACTCGGGTTGCAAAATTGGCGACTGATGTTTTTCATAACATTCCTAGCTCAGACAATATTGATCCTGAAAAGGTCACCAACTTTTTTTTTTGTTATCGCAAGGTCGACTTGAGACCGGCTTTAGACCTGCACGGTTACTCAGTTATACGATTAATTGATTAAGTTTTGTGTTGGTTATTCAGTTACACGTTTTGGTGTTCTCCACACCTTCTATGCCCGTCATGTCATCCTGTATACGGTTGAAGAAAAATAATTATCAAAAAATAAATAAAATTGTGACGAGTCATGTAAGGCCTGCAATGATGTTCAGTTATTCATTTCATTGACTACTGTGTTGTTTTTTTTACGTAAATGTTCATTTTTCTGTGTATTCCACAACAGCCATGCTTGTCAAGTAAAGGTTGGTTCATACAGTAGGCCTACTTGGCGAGAAAAATGCACGTGAATGCAATTTTGTGACGTTATAGCAAGTTTAACACATTTTAACACCAGCAAATTTTGCAGCAAATGTTTTCTGATGTCAAATTCACTTTGAATTTGCATTCGCATGAAATATGAACCGGCCTTTATCCTGGTGAAGAAAAAAGTTATAAACAAGGAAGAAAATCATGACGAGTAACAATATTCTTGCAACGATTGTTTTGTTATAAAGGTGCATTGTTCTTTGTGTTGGATGCGTTACAGTTCACTTATACAACATTTGCTTTTGCTGTAATTTTCAGAAAGGGATGCTTTGGGGGTTAGTATTTTATAGCAAATATTGTTACACTGACTTGTTTGAAGTTTGAAGTTTTGGAAAACCAAGAAAAACAATCATGTTCCTGTAGTCTGGTTCCTGCCCCACTTAAGATGAAACGGAGCAATTTATAGACGTCAGGAAATGACAAGATCAGGGAACCATTCTAACTGGCTTGTACCCGTTCATAGGTGTGTAATCGATTGCAAACAAATTGCGGACTAACTAAATATGGTATTGGGGGCAGTATTTGAAAAAAAAAAAAGCCATTTTTTTTCCAACGCTGGTTGGCCGACCAGCGTTGGAAATTGATACAAAAATATCACTTTTCTTGAAAATGACAGCACACCAGGTGCCATGATTTTACAGGATGCTTTAGACTGTCATTCACTAACAGTCCAGTAAGGTATTTCATAATAATTTGGCAGTTTTGGTTTTTAATGTTTGCAAATGTTAATATATTCCCTTTAATCAAACATCACTTTGCGAAGAATGAAGTCTTCCTTTGAGAAGGCGAAAGAGCACATGCCAAAAAAGCTCTCAAGCTTTATTCAGAAAGAAATCTCAATGCAGTATCATTTCGACAGCTCCAATCTTTTAGGATCGTTTCATGCATTTTGTTCATTTTCAATAATTACACCACTCCAAATCCAAAGAAGCATGTCCAAACCCTAACCTTTTGAAGTTTCAACTCAGTGGAAATTACACTTTTCGAGAAAAAAAAACCCCATACACAACCTTTTGATCGTGAGACACGATTTTGTCTAGTGGCACTATTTCCAAAAATCAGTCAACTGACTGATCATTGGAAATCACCAACATTTTCTTGATTTCTTCTAAACAACAGCAAGCCAGACGGAATAATTTCACGGGGTGTTTAGTACGATCTTTAGTCAAAGTAAGCTTTTAGATATTAATTCGCTTACTTTTGGGATAGATGCAAATGATCCGATACACCTTTCAAACACAATACCATACCACTAACAATATTTACTTGCACCTTCAACCCTTGAAATGCAATAACCTGTCTGACAAAAACAGGAACCAATATACCACTGCCAACTCCACAACGCGACACTCTTACCCTACATCAAAACAAGTGAAGGTTACAGTATCGATGACATGGATTATGCACTTTTGTTCACCGCCATCCAAAAATAAAAGAAAAAAACGAAGACATAACATGCACTGGTTTTCAAGTTCAAAATAGCACACAGTCAATCACATCAAAATATTGAACATCAAACAGTATCAAAAAAACGGGTCGGTTGCAAAAGGCTAAAGAAAAAATAACGGCAAAAGAAGTACATCTCACCCTACCTGAGAGCTGTCAGTTTTTGAAAGATACGAGCTCCAAACAACGATTAGTACCGGGGAACAACACCCCAGTGCTATGAATTATCGTTATGAGGATGACAACACAAACGCAGCGCTGCTACATCAACAAAACACCAGATCCTCAATGGAGCTATTGAAATATAAAACCCGGAGCTCCAATTTAACCATAGGGAGAATGAACAAAAAACCAATGGATGCTGGGCAAATGGTGTGAAAATGTCGATTAGATATCAATATTAAAGATGTACTTTTGTGTGGAGATGAGGTGACTGTTTGCATTCATTGAGTTTATCTGAAAATGGTTGAGGTGTTCCAAGTATGGAAGAGATTGTCAATTTATAAAAAAAGTCTGAAAATTGAATGAAAGGTTGTCTTTCTTTCAGATTCAATAGGTCTGATTTCAGACAAAAGCCTAAAAAATCTTCCTGTCTACATGTAGGTTAAAATTCACACCAAAAAAAAAACGTAATGTAGTTACCTATAACTTTATCGAACAACGAAGAGTACTTTATATTTTTGTCAATATTCAGTGTTAAACGTAGAGTCTAAAGAGCATTTGTCATTTGTTTATTTGTTTCGTTTGAAGCAACAAAAGAGCTCAAAATCTAAAGACGGATGCTTAACAACTAAATCTGATGAAGTTTTAGCTCTAGGAATGCTGTATATTTTAAGAAAATAATAAACTAGGATCTTGATTTTAATTCAAAAGTTGCCGCGTCACATTTGGAACTGCGGCCGAAATCAGCATCCGGAACAGGTTCTCGTTCAGCCGATTGCAGCTACATTATGTCACGCACTGAACCGACGAATAATACTATATGGGTTGTGTCAATGCTTGTGCGCACCCATTCACTGAAATGCCCAATAACAAACCAACTACTAACAGAAATTGCCAAAAATGCATCACTTGACTCATCTTTGGAAATGACCTTCTTTTATTGTTCTCCTCAAAATGTTAGCATGCCAGAATGAATAATTTCACAGGGAGTTTAGCGCCACTACTATCTTTTAAACCAAGTAAGCTTTTTAACAATAATTTGGTCAGTTACTTTTTAGATGGGGTGCTGTGGTCCAATGTTTACAGTGTTCGACTCGTGTGCCGTGGTACATGGGTTCGAATCCTGACCGTGGGAACATGGTGCTTGTGCTCTTGAGCAAGGCACTTTACCGTTATTGCTTCGTCCTTCGGATGGGACGTAAAGCCGTAGGTCCCGTGTGTTGTGTAATGCACGTTAAAGAACCCAGTAACACTTATCGCTAAGAGAAGGGGTTTGCCCCGGTGTTTCTGACAGTGGCTGCTTAATGTGCCTTGTAAACCCTTATAAAGGTGCTACATAATGGGTCTCATATTTCTCATGTACTTCATTCACCTGTCTCTAATAATAGACATAATTTCCAGCGCCTTGAGTACCTAATTGTTGGTAGATACATGAGTTATATAAGACTGCAGTATTATTATTTTTACTTAGATTGCTACAAAAAAACCTTTAATTGATAAGTCATCGGTGCTATGCACCTCTGCCCGGAAAACCTGTGTACAGGTATTGTTATTATTGAAGGCAGTATGGAGCCAATTGTCGGACCCAAGCCTTGTTTGTGAATATGGCCCACTCCATAATCATAAAAACCGCCTGGGGCATATGAATTTTATATTAGATTACAACCGGAGATATGCCAGTGTGTGAGAGAGGGATTAGCCAAAGAAATACGGCAGTAAAGGGGGTGGAGAAATACTGCACACGAACAAATAAATAGATCTACACTGGAGATTTTAATATTTTTTTTTCATGACTTCGGGGGTTGATTTTGGGAGTTGGGAATGTTAAATACATTATGAAACTGTACTACTAGCACCAACAATTCAAAATGGTGGACATGATAATACATGTCACAGGCAATTTTCTTTTACATGTTTTTTTTTAGCACAGAGGAAAATGAGAATAAAGGGAAGAAACAACATTTGCAAACATTGAAAAATAAAACTACCAAGTTTTTAAAAATGTCTTACTAGGATGTTGGTAAATGACAGTCTAAAGCATCCAGTAAAATTATGGCACCTGGGGTGAAGTCATTTTCAAGAAAATGGTAATTTTGTGGGTCAAAAAATTACGGCATGGGGTTCGCAGCCTGCTTAGTCAAGGCCCCCAAAAATTGATTGATTTTGGTGCGATCTGAGGCAATTTCTGACCACTTTTTTTTTTGGGGGGGGGGGGGCATGGCCGCATTGGCCCCCCCCTCCCCCCCAGATCCGCCTTTACTGTGGGCACTTAAACCACCCCATACCATTTCATGCAGAATAATGCCACAGGATGTTTGGTACCAGTCCTACAATGTATCTTAATGTTGAGCACGGAGGTAGCTTTGTTATATCGGTAGGTAAAAGTTTCAGGTACAGAATGTGAGCGGAATTGTTCCAACATGTAGGCTTACATGCCTTTTTCAAACAGGGGTGTGAGTGACCACTAATAAAAATAGCTGAAAACAGCTGAAGTAGGTAT